ATATGGAAAGTGATAAAATAACGAGAAAAAAAAAATTAAAAGAAAAATTCAATTTTTGATTGGAAATTTTTAAAAATCTTGAGCGACCTCTAAATAATTTTTTTTTGAGCTGATTTTTTGAGGGGGCTCTTAAAACATGATAAACTAACATATTTTCACAAGAAACACGAAAAAAAATATATACACGTAACATTAAAACACTATATAATACAATTCAATAAGAAACATGTTTGGGAGATATTAATTTGTTACTGAGGAGACGGTCTTTGTCTGGACAATATGTTCGCTACAGGTATCTCTTTGATAAAGCTATCACTCCTTACTTACAATATCATTTTATTCGATCTTACTTTATATACATACGGTTTACTATTGTGTAATAGTCATTATTAACTATTCTGAAGAGAGACAGATATTGGTTATAAAATGATTGTTACACAATAAAGGCTTTACATAATTAATTTATAGGTATTTTGATGTAGATAGAGAAAATATTAATGAATACAATATTTTATCATAGTACAGCATCTGAAATACATATTTGTCACTGCAAGCAACAGTTTTACATTGAATTTTTTAGTATTTTTTTTTAATTGTTTAATTTACAGCAAATAATGACATTTAAATATGGTAAACATTATAAGATTAGGAGATGCTACAAAAAGCATCTCTTAACGTTTCGTTTTACCCACAAGTGGGGTGCGGTGGAACACGGCTAAAATGAATTGTGAAAGTAATATTTGGATATCGTTTAGAGTTAAAATTATCTGTATATTAGAGAAATAGTTACAAACTCTTCTCCAAACAGTCATAACTTTTCATATCTCCAACATTTATCGGGATAAACCCTGTAGATGCGAGTACATAAATCACTGTTCTGTCGACGTGCAAATGCAGTTAGTACACGACTAACATGCTGTATGCAGGTGGCTTTGACCATTAATTAATGTTGTATTACGTTGAAATATTTTAATCAGGTTCTTTCCGGAATGTTAAATATTTACTCTTACAAAAGATTATGAAGCGGAAGCGACATTTTACAGCTTTTTTATTGGGGCTTAGGAGACAGACGCATTTATACCACACATGGAAAATCCTGGGGTTCTACAAAGAAAGTTATTTTAGTGCATCCATGAAAGCAGCCCTCACGCAAAATGTTTGCTTGTTCAAGTAATGGGGTCACAATTGGCTTCGTTAAATATTGTAAAGCGACGTTTTCGTCATAAAAAGAGCTCGTATGCTAAAAGTGTGGAAAAAGTGTATTACCACAAACGTGTTTAATATGCGTGGTCTTTTAAAATTTCAATACAATTTCCTCTCTATGTAATTCTTACAGAAAAGAACACGTAGCTGTTACAGTTTCATTTTTACTAATATTTAGCATATCCATATTTATAAACAAAACTAACAATTGGGTACATCAAAAGAGAAATGTGAGTATGGTGAAAGTTTGTATAATGGTTTAATAAATTACTACACTTAATGGCATATAAATTACAAAATAGGATGTATATGTAATGTAATTATTTCTGAAAGTATCTTGACATCAAGCTATTTTTGATATTGATTCAAATAATCAGATAAACGAATAAAATAAAACAATATTTATTTGATTTCCCTCAACTGGTTAATTGCAACTTCATTAATTTTGAAATCCCTGTATTTGAAAACTCAACCACTGAGTTTATAAGTCAAAGTAAGGACTGTCACTTGCCCCTAAATTTTGACGGTTATAGACCGTCAGGATTCAGGGGGTATTGCGATCGACGCCCTCAGATCTGACTAATTACGCATTTATTATTATTGTTTATTACATTTATTACTTTTATTATCCTGTTTGAACAATTTAAGCATCGAATTGCCTCGAACGGTCTAACTTCCTCTAAAACTGTGGACAATATCAACAATGCAGGGTCTGTATTGTTTCTGTCTTTTGTGACAGATGTTTATAGGAATCTTTTTTTATTAATTTGTGATGTCCTTTAGAAGTCTGACCAAATATTCCACATATTTTATGCAAACGTCATCAAAATGTCCAAATCGTAATATTTATGATGAGGTGACGTATCCACTGAATATATAGTTCCCCTTGTTTTTCCAAGTTTTCCTCCTTCTGGATTCAATTTTGAAAGTAAGTAATTTTCTAGACATTTCAGTATCAATTAGACTGATGTATAGAGACACATATTTTGTAAAACGTGTTTTTCTTGAATACGGCTGATGATAAATAAATTTTGTCACTCAATATATACATTTTTTAAGTCGCCGAGTTGATAAATTACCGCAATCACTCGCCCTTTTGAGGCAAATTCCATGTTATCAACCCTAAAATATAATATTGGATCATCAATAATTTTTTATAGGATGAAAAAATATATTGTTTATTACAAAATGCAGTTGAAAGAAACCACCTCTCTGTAAATATTATTCAAACTTTAATTATTTTATTGAAGCGAGCATTTTTTTCGTATCGGTCAATATATGAAATAATTTTGAACAATTCTTTTAACAATAATCCAAAATTGTAATCTAAAATTGTACGGAGAACTAAATTTTGATAGTCTTTTGATATAAATAGTTGTTAAATACAAAAAAGTGTGGGAGATTTTTAACGCGTTCCAGAACACAGATCAGTAATAAACTCCAGAATATTTAGAAACGTTAAACATAAAGTGACATTTTCAAACCGCTATTTTGGGGCAAAATGAGAACAAAGGTTGCGGTTAATCTAGGTACTTTTTTTCTCAGAATAATGCCTCTGTTTTAATGCATGGCTGTAACATTGTTTTACATTTTCTATACTTTTTTGTTTGGGATAGGTACTAGAAAATTATTTTCTACAATTTTTTTCTTCGACATACAAAAAGTGGACGGAGTTAGAAAAATGTTGATTCCAATTTTATTTTTAAAAATAAACGTATCTAAAGTTATTTAGTAGAATAGACTAAATTTACGTGATAATTTATAAACATTTTATAAAAAATGAATGGCTCAATATTTGTATAATATCAATGGCATTTGTACCTAAATTATCACACAGATTTGTTTCATTCTGTTAAATATTCATTTTGATGAAAAAAGTTCAAATAAACATGTCTAACTTTAATCGCTTTCCGTATAAATTCCGAAAATGTCGGGAAAGTGATTTATTTATTTATTAAAAAAATATTAGAGCACCACCATGCAGTGCTATTCTCTAACTATTTGGTTTATTCTACGTTTGAGAAACAGCCGCTCAAATATAATAAAGAAAATTTAATTGTCTTCAGTCATTTTCAAGAAAAACGCATTTCCCAAGATATAGGTATCGATAATACCGATCTTGGAAATTTTGAAGAATATATTCCATGTTCCCATTGTTAAACAAATTAAAGTGTTCTAAAAGTAAACCTTAAAAATGTACCAATTTGTTAAAAAATGTGCTCTTAAATTCACATATGTATGTCATATTTTGAAACGATGTGAGATAAATAAAATTTTGTTTACATCCTATTCACATAATCTTTAACTTAAATGAATTATAATCGACACACATTTTTAGAATAGACAGGTTTTTCTCACTTTTCGAACTATAACATGTTTGATCCTACTGATCAGTTTAGCAAAATCACAGTTTTCTATCTATTTCATATAAACATCTTTTAATTTAATGGGCGTTTCCATAATAACAGCAAATGACCCCGCAATAATCTTATGGAAATTGGGTTTCTGTCAAATTGTCTGAATTTTTGATATGTTGTAGATTTTGTCATCCTGAACAAAAGTCTCTATGGGCACAAAGTGCCAAAATGAACATTTTGGCAGATACGGAGCTGCCAAAGCTCCCCTGACCCGTTGCAAAACTATTCATTTTCAATACTATTTACAGATGTCAAAAGCATATTTTAATTATTCTAATATATAGGGTAATGTTTTTGAGGTCACTGGATTCAACCCTCATGTCAGATTGGACAAATTGACCGTTGACAGCTGTCAATACACTGTCAACGAAGAATAGAAAAGTAAATATTCTCTTTTCACATTGAGAGTTTGGGCTTTTGAGGGAGCTGAATTCAATTCTCATGCCAGATTGGCAAAATTGACAGTTGACAGCTGTCAATTGACTGTCAACGAGGAATATAAAAGTAAATAT